AGATAAGGACCCGTACCAGAGCTACGGCACCTAACCCTCCCTATTCTCCTCGTACTAAAAGTGTATCTGCCCTTGTTTGATACCAAACTTGCGGGTTTGAAGTTAGCTGCGGCTTAAATCTCGAATGTACAATGAATGAAGCTGTCGGGATTTGGAAATGAGGACTAATCCATAAGTCCGCCCGCAGTTCCTTTGTCAATCTTGCCTTCCATCCAAGTTTCCGGGGCCAGTTCGGGCTAGAGCAGAACTCCATAAGAAATAATACCACTTTCCTTTCGCACAAGTGTACCAGTGAGGTCTGGGAGATTAAAAAGAGGATATCAGCGATGCGAGTAGCACGCCAACGAGACTGCAGCGCAAGGAACAAACCACCAACCTTGAGTATCCCGGGCTCATCAACATGTGTAGAGCATTTTCCCTCTCCTCCGCTGGATCTCCATCTTTTGAAAGCAGCGAACTAGATCCTACGGCTTGCGTAATGCGATGCGAGGTCGTTGTTGTAAGAGTGGGACGAGCTCTGGGTGACGGCGTCTCCCCATTATTTCCTTCATATCATTTCCATCGACTTTTGCACCGATCTTGTTGTCGTCTGCCTATTTAGGCCCTAGCATTGGAGCAAAGGACAGGGTCTGGTTGTGGTCGAATGTCAACAAGCGTCAGCGACACGCCACCCACCATCTTCAGGGCTCACCAGAGCAGTGGAACGCACGCATAAGTAACACTTCTATTGTCTGGTAGCTTTGTTTCTGGAAGCTATAGAGAAAGACTTCAGGGCTTGATTCGGTCTCGTAAATTCTGTAATGTTGACAAGTGTACCGCATCTACAGGGATAGAGCGCCCCTGTACGAACATAAAAATGACATTGGCATCGTATCCAGTCTCATAGTTCTATTTAGCGTTCGGGTGCTCGTGGAAACGAGTACGTACTCTGGGAATTACCTCTACAGTAGGGCATGCCAAACGAGACAAAAGTGGTCTAGTGATGAACGAATGGCAATGAACAGAATTTAGGGCGGATTTTGGGAGGACATCACAATGGAGAAGGGTCGGAATTGTGACCAGAGAGTTTGTCGGTTCCGAACTCCACTCACACCTCAGGGTCGACAAAACAAAAGTAGCCATAGCGCTCTTCGTCGTCGAGGCTGGTGGACATCATAAAGCCTAAGGTGAGTTTATCTCCTTCGTCCATTAGTAAGTGGACTCATTGCTGGAAATTCTACGATAGTCTACTTCAGTATGGGTATCCGGTCGGTGTATCTTGGGCGTAAGAGAAAGGATAGATGCCATCTGAGAATACAGAGACAAACGGCCCAAAAAAGGATGCCCGACGTGTATAAATTCACTCGCGTCCGCTGAACCCACAGAATATGAGAAAGGTCGGTGCCGGTACTGTGTATGTGGGATTCTCATCTGTTATGAGCCTTGGTGGGAACTGCCGAATTGTAAATAGGACGCGGTCCGACCGCACTAGTTCAATCTAGAATGTGCAGTCTCGGAAAACCTCCTCTTTCTGCTCGACATCCTGATTCATAATGAGTATCTAATGCTTCCTGTATTATTCTATACGGATTTGAGGGCCCGTCTGTCGACCAAATTGGGCGAAGAAAAGCCGTCGGTGAGATAAAGGAGTGGCGAGTTGGTCCTGACCACCACTCCGTTGTACCTAATCGGGTGCCCAGGCTACTTTACACACACTCCTCTCGACATCCTCAGTAATAATATTCTTCATCATGGAATGGAACCAGCACCGCGGTTATTTTTCGATCACTACGAGGTCACCAAGTTCGGCAATCTAGGTCAACCAACATTGGAACTCTAGCCAATAGATGAGGACGCACGTGTATTTATACGCCATCTGAATAAGAATCCGGTTCGCTCACTGGCTGAATCGAGCCGATGAATGCCAGTTGACTTCCTCACTCCGGCCGCCCTCAACGTTCCATGCTGAAGCTGCGTGTCCAGGTGCCTATTTTACGAGGTAGAAGACGGTTAGGCACAAAATCTTGGTGAATGAGATTTAGTTATGGTCTGAATCCCACCGTCGCCTC